TCGCCTAAATTTATATGTTTGTTTATTCTTCTCAGATGTGGTATGAAAAGCATATCATCACAGTCGATGTAATGTGGTCATGCTCTGCTGGTGCTCTTTTGTCCCTGAGATTAATAGCAGGAGATTAATCTGGGCAAGTCTGGGCCTGCCTGAGAGATGTGGATTATCATATTAGAGAGAGGGAAAATGGAACTTATTTGGTCTGAACTAACTGAATTCTAGGAGAAAAGCGGCATGCTGGGTGAGCACAGTCAGAATATTCATTTCAGCAGCTAGACAATGTTTGATCCAAATGTGGTCTTATATTACATCCAATCGATCCTATGGTGGTGCCATGTAGTATAATCTTTCTTATCCAGACAAACTCTGGTAGAAATTAGTACCTACACGACTGAAATTAGTGCGCTAGAAATTAAAGAGTAACATACGCAAGTCCTAAATCTATTCTTTTTTTTTTGAAACTAAGTCCTAAATCTATTCGAGGGGTGTCAACTTAGTCCTCCTAAAAGTTCGGTAGTGTGTCAGCTGCAGTCCTATCCATGTTGCATCAGCTTTGACTAGCATGGGTGGCGGGTTGACTACTGACATGCGGCATTTTTTTTTGCACAGCCCCCCTAGTCATCTCTTCTAATTTTGTGGCCCTCCTCCTTGCATACATCATTTCCCTTCCCTTCCTCCCCTCCTCCAACAGCCACAATCCACCTCGGAACCTGAACATCATGAACGTGATGAACTTTTGCGACATGTGCTGGAACCATTGACACATCTAACTTCGCTGCTCAGGGAGAATCATCTACGCTGGGGAGGAGCTGGGGACAAAGTTGTCTAAACTTTAGCGTCGGGTGGAAGGAGGAGGATTGAGGCCGAAGCCTGCCTGCTGCTTGCTGCCACCGCCGCCCTACCTGCACTGCCGTCACCGTACACTTCGGGAAAGGCAGCCGCCACCGCATGGGGAAGGGGTCTGGGGCTGTCGCGTGGGAGAGCAAGGCCAACGATGACGTAGATGCGGGATGGCGGCGACCAGATCGTGCGAGAGAACCGGGCGAATGGGATGGATGGCTTGAGCAGATTGATGGGTAGACGGAATCCGCGTAGGTTTTGTGCAACGAGGAAGGCCACAGAATTAGAAAAGGGGACATTTTTAGGGTGGTCTATAAGAAATGTTGCCACGTGCATGGCAATAGTCAACCTGCCACCTGTGTAAGTCAAAGCTGATGCAACGCAGATAGAACCTACGCAGATAGAATGGCACACTTAGCAAACTTTTGGGACTCATATGAGCATTTTCATAGTATTAGAACTAACTTGACACCCTTTGAATAGTTTTAGGACTTGTGGTGTATTTTACTCAAAATAAATGGGGGATCCATTTTACGGCAAGATTTTTGGAACGGTATCTCTACGACGACCAACGAGAAGCTTGCAAAATTTGTGCCCAAACCATATTTTTTAAAATGGTCTAAAGTTTGGACCCAAAGCATATCTATTGTGTCTTGCACATTTTTTTAAATGTGTACCGTGCAAATCTCAAGTTCGTATATGTCTTGTTAACTTTTTTTTATTACTCTTGTTAACTTTTAGTACTATACACCAATGGAACACTCGATGAGCTGCATAATTTTCGGAACCTTTTATTCTTGGATGGAAGTGATTGTATTGTCTTAAGTGCCCAATAAAGCTCGATGGTTGTTTACCAGCAAAGGACGCATCTACTTTACTCAATCTCACTGATTTTGGGCGGACACCAATGGCAATCTTGATATATATATATATATATATATATATATATATATATATATATATATATATATATGTCCTCTCATGATGTACTAACATTTTTGTGTAATTTAGGTAGAGATCACTATACACCAAGCTGGTTGGGAGAGCTGGAGGGGGGGCGGGGGGATGCTTGTATGCCATTGGGCTTGGGAAGGATCATGAACTTAACTGATACTTGTTAGCCTAATCAGAACCCACAATAGATTTCTCGCTCGACAAAACCAGCCTGACCCCTAAGGGTAGCATCGATCAATTGCATGTAGCCAGAGCTACCAGTGTATTGTTTTCTCCCGTCCCTTTGATGCTTTAGTTGTTGCTAGGCCAACATCAATGCAGGTCGGGTTGAAGGACAGGCAAAAGGCAAAACATTTGGAAGTCCTTAGTCATCGTCGGAAACATCAAGGGTATAAGAGCATCTCTAGCAGATCCGGTAAACGGCCATCCCCGAAACGAACGCCGGACGCTGAGCCAGAATAGATCCTTTAAACATATACCGCATATTCAAACTTGCAGTTCACACTTAAACTAGATCACCGGAGTTCATACATAAACGCTTGCCGAAGTTCATACTCCCTCCAGTCCTTTTTAGTCTGCATATAAGTTTTGTCTAAAGTCAAAGCATCTCTACTTTGACCAAACATATAGAAAAAATGTATCAAGATTTACAATGTCAAATCAATATTCTTAGATTCATTACAAAATGTAGTTTCATGGAATATAAATTTGGCATGGTAAATATTGATATTTTTTAATATATATTTGGTCAAACTTTGCAAAGTTTGACTCGACCCAAACCTAATACACGGAGTAAAAATGACCGGAGGGAGTACTACATACCAGAGTTCATGTTTAATAAAAAAGGAAATTAAACAGTTCATACTTAAACGGGGTGCATACTAGCGTGCTTCCAAATAAAGAAGCGCCAAGCACTACCATGTAAAAGAAGTCTTGGGGAAGCTGAACTACTTCCCTCGCTAGGTATTAAAATGCACCTTGTCACATTACAAACTTACTCAACGAAGGCACATGTTCAGCAAGTTCTTCCACATAACGTATGTGCACACTGCCGGCCACATTGATGGAATGCGACAAACTCGGTAGGGACTAGGGACGACAGCTGCCCTTGACTACTTCACCTGCAGACAACAAAATTGCTAATCCGTTAGTAAATATAGTAGATACATGCAGAACCTGATATGCGTATGCAGCATACATGGTTAAAAAAGCCTATGAGCAAGATGTGTGTGCAAGCTCGTAAAACATAACAGATATCACACTCTTCGCTATATCTCCTAGGATTGCAAATGACAGCGAATTACACCATTGAAGCCTTTTGACAATGTAATTTATTTGTGTGGGATAGTTGAATGCTACTAATGTCGTGTTTTCAGCTAGCTGACCCTGGCAAAACCAAGGGAGAACTCTAGGCATGCCCAAACAGGCACAAGGCAGTAATATAGTAATTAACAGCAACACCACTATATGCAACACATGGATATCATTTGCGACCCAAAAGGGACAGTCATTTTGCCTTTGGCGTCACTGTCGTTTTTAATTTGTTTGTGTGCTATTGACATGCATGAATCCATATAGCCGAATGGGATGCAGGCTGCATACGCTGGCAGCAAGATATTCTTATGCTCTGTTAGAGAGAAGGTGATGACAGTCCCTAGGTAGAAGACTCAGCGCGATCTCCGAAGACTGGAGAAATCTGGAAAGGCTACTCAACTAGAGAAGGTTACCTTTTTCTTCTTCTGATAATCTCTATCACTCGTCTATTATACATTGATTACATTCCCATGTTCTAACATCTTCCTGCTATCAGTCAGAGTGCTGAAAGCGAACTAAAGGAAAGTCTGAGGAAAGGTGTCTATTGTGACATTTATAATTACCCCTTCAATCAGTTTGATACTATACTTGACATAGAAAAAGATGATATGGCTCCTGAGATGGAAGAGGAAGAAGTAAGGACAGTACCGAGTATATGAGACATAAGCTAACTTAGTTGTGTTCTCATAGCTCACAAGCTTTCCTACATGCTGTGTGGATTCACTTGCCAACAAAGCAAGGTAAGATAGACTATGCTGAATGTGCTGATATCGAGATGGGTGAAATGGAAGATATGGAATACTTTGAAGGCTTCGGTAGTGAAGATGGTAAACATTTTCCCTTGTTTCTACTGATTTTGATTGGCCATGTTATAGAGTGCTCTGACATGTGAAGATACCTTTTTCCTGTGTTCGCTAGGTAATGTAATGAAGTTTTCCATTTTCTGAATTATGGGCCTTGGAAATCCCATTCTGATTTGTCTAATATGTTCATGATGCAGAAATGTTTATTTTGACAAAATGGTTTGAATGAACCAGTAACAAAGAAGCCCAAGGTACCATGCTCTGATTTAAGATCAAAGATTGAGCAGAAGTCTACGAAAGTTATCACCGAGGTAAATCACTTGTTTCAGTATGAGTATTCTGATGTCATGAAACACCATGTCGCCTGCATACATAGTTAAAAAAAACACTAGCCGTTAATTGTGCGTTTTGCCACTGCCTTGTGCTTTCTGACCAAAGTGCACACTTATGCGTAATTATGCGCATATTAACTGCAATTAAGCACTAGGCATTTTTCTATAGTCTAGAGCCTAGGCCTGCCTTTTTTAACCATGCCTGTACATAGACAAAAATCAAACACATCTTATTGGTTTTGTCACATATTTGGTGTCCAACTAGTAGTAGGGAATCCATATATGCTTTTCTCTTTATCTACATTGCTCTTCACAGGAGAAGTTTCCCCTAAGCATGCACATACTATTAGCTTTTCTTTTTCAAAAAATGCTACTAATGTCTTGCTTTCAGCTAGCTGACTATGAAATGGCAAAACCAAGGGAGAACTCTAGCATGGCCAAACAGGCACAAGCAGGTAATATTAACAGCAACAACACTATGTGCACATCTGGATATCATTTACAAGCTACGACCCAAAAGGGACATTCATTTTGCCTTGGCCACCATCGTTTAAAATTTGTGTATGTGCTATTGACATGCATGAATCCCTATAGCCGAATGGGCAATAGTTTGTGAGATGCAAGCTACCTGAATTGGCAGACAGATATTTTCCATACAAAAAAACCAAACAATCCAGATCTCACAAACTATATCCTGAAGATGGTGTTACCTTTAGGACCATTCCAGCATATTACCACACAAGATTAGACAGTCATCCTACATATCTTGCAGCATTCCAGCTCCGCCACGTCCACCAGGAATGGCTACGCCCAGAAGCATAAGAAGTCAGGCAATAAACAAAAGCTACAAGGAACATATGGATAGGCGAAGGCAATAGTGATTCAGTTACATAGATAATAGATAAAGCAACAAACATAACTTCAGAATAACAAATCATTTTAGCTCTCATAGTTTCTTATAGATAGTTATAACCCACTTTTGATGCTAACAACATATAAACAAGATCACGTCTGTTTTAAAATGTGAAGACCATTCCTGAGAACAGTAATATTAAGTTACATCATAATGAAAGCTTTAGCTCATAAGAAAAACTGCCTGGAATTAATCCAATATATCAAGCATACAAAAATCAAAACATGCCCAAACTAATAAATTGTGGAAACAACAGTGATTTTTTGGTGTTCAGCTGTAAATGAATCTAGCCTACTAGAGACAAGAAATCCAATTTATTTTTGTGTGGCATACAAGTGTACTAGTCACTTGCAGCAGGGACCTTCAACAAGTGCACAAAAAACTATTATTTCAGAAAGTATAGATTAAGGAAAAGTTATTTGTTACAGAGATAACATTAATCAAGAACAAAACAGATGGTACCCCACAAACAAATGTAACTAGCTTAGAGAACCCAAACACAACAGCTGAGTTACTCATTTGACATTTGATTTGGTATCTCTGAAGATCAAAGACATAAAAACACAGTACAGCTACAAGTTTGTGCAACTAGTAAAGGAACAATTTCTAACTAAGTTTAAGTTGTTAATGGACATTGGGGAAGCACAACGAAGGTATTGTAGCAACCAAGTATATAGAACGTTACTAGATTAGGTTACTACCAAAACACAAGGAATAATGATGAGCAGTCACCTGGTGCATAGAAACTTGTGAAAGGATGAATGTCATTGGCATAGCTGTGATGACTGCATTGATAAAGTTTCATGGATTGCATTGACATTGCTTCAACCATGTAGACATTGTTGTCCACAAATAAAAACATTGCACCATTTTCCTCATCATACCCAAGTATTTCGACCGCTCTCACCGATCCTTCAGCCTGAGGAGGGAGCCCAAGAACAGTATGCATTTCAACAATCTTCTGCAGGAACCATGTGGCACCACCGTGACAGCTGACCTTCCTCTCCCACATTTCAAATCTACCATGAGACAATATGGCAAGACCAACATCACAATCCCCTGACTGGATTATCTGATGTGTGGTGGAATGATTAAGACTTGGAGGCCCCTTGATCACCGCAAGACTCTGCCTATCCAAATCGAACTCAATTATGTCGTCTCCGAGCTGATCCAAATTCAAATATTTTGATTTGGCATTCACACTCTTAGACGTCCAGTAGAGGACATTACCAACAAGGATCCCAGGATTACATCGAGCAAACTCACATCGATTTGTTGTCGAGATGGGATTGCCCCATGCCCCAGTCTCCGAGGAGTATACACAAGCGATGGGTGGAGTACCATCTTCGTAGCCTTGGCACGGGGACATCAAGACCAAATTAAAGGGGCTCGAGTGGCAGCTGCCATGCATGTGGCTCTGGTCGGTGGCAGCGCAGAGCACAGCCCCGTAGAGGTAGGATAACTTATCGAATGCTGGTGGAATGTCGACATGGTGATGCTCGCCGGTGATGGGGTCCCATACAATGAACCAGTCCATGTCCATCTCCAGGAGGAGGATGCGGCCTTGCCGGCACCCGAGCAGGTCGGCCTTCCGGAAGCCACGTATCTGCTGTCGTGTGTTGAAGCGCTCCGGAGGGATGCGGTCGGGAGGGTCCAGGACCGGAGTGAACACGATGTCGTAGTCATCTCTCTCAAAGACGCCGAGGAGTGGCGGCTTGCGGTGGTGCGCAGAGAAGCTGCGGAGGAACCGGGGGTCGGTGGCGACGCGCAGCCAGCTCTTGCAGACGGCGGAGGCTCGCAGGAGGGAGGACGGCTGAGGCGGCAGGCGCATGAGGATCTCCCGGAGCATATCGTCGTCGTCCGGCAGGGAGGCAGGCGCAGCCGGAGAGGTGCCGCGGCGGCGGCGGCGGCGTGTAATTCCGGAGCCCTCCTCGCTCGAGTGTACTTGGGGGTGGAGCCGCGTGCTGCGGCGGTTGGTCACTCCGGCGCCCTCCTCGCTCCTGTGGAGGTGGGGGTGCAGCCGCGGGCTGCGACGGAGGCCTATCACGGCGCCACCCTCGTCGCTCGCTCGGATTTGGGGATTGAGCCGCGGGCTGCGGCGGCGGGTCACTCCGGCGTCCTCCTCGCTCACGGGGATCTGTGGGTGGAGCCGCGTGGCTGCGACGGAGGCCGATTACGGCGCCACCCTCGTCGCTCGCGTGGACTTGGCGGTGGAGCCGGGTGCTGCGCCGGCGGGCCAACCCGACGCCCTCCTCACCGATGTGGATTTGGGGGTTGAGCCGCGAGCTGCGTCGGCGGGTCGCTCCGGTGCCCTCCCCGCTCACGGGGGTTTGGGGGTGGAGGCGCGGGCGACGGCGGATGGCCATTCCGGCGTTCGCCGCGGCCTGGCTGGCGTGGGTCTGGGGATTCAGGCCTGGGCTGCGGCGGCGGCTCATCTCTGCTCTGTGCTTGGATTGGAATGGAATGGAATGGAGGCGCCGCCCGTGACCTAGAAGACACAGGGCTCGATTCGTATGCTTTTACTTTTTCAGTTTCTACTTTTACCTCATGATTTTTTTTGAGGGATTTACCTCATGATGATTAATTATATAACTTTTTTTAGGAGTGCATAACTTTTTCTTGAACAAGCACTACGTATTCATTGAATAAATTTGGTACACAGAGTACATATGTGGACACCCTTACAGAAAAACAAAGAGACATAAGACCTGAAGGTTTGCACAAAAAAATTTAAATCAAGAAATATAACAACACAATCATCAAGAAATATAACAGCACAAGACGAAAGAGCCGAGTCTTTGTGGCTCGTCGGCCGAAGATCATCCTCATGTCCGCCTGATCCAAACGTCAGCGACTTCAACTAATGCGATCGGTGAAGATGGACGTCGCTGCACACTGCTATCCGCACATCCCGCTTCAAATCCTCCGAACACTTTGTCATGTCCGCTGCCGTCACCATGGGTGACGAGAAAACACCAGCCGACACAACCTAAAATCGCCAGATCCGGAGCCTGACAAGAAGAGAGGCTACCTGCTTCCCAGCATCATCGATTGGAAGAACACCAGGTGGGGTAGAAACAGGGCCAATTTATTCTGACGCGGCGTCGATCCCGCCACCGATGCGACATCTCTGCAAAAAACGAAGCCCAGACTAACTACTTGTCGGAGCAGCAGCGGTGGGGTCCCTACCCTCCCGTCGCCGGAGCGACTGCCAGAGAGGCAGAGGACCCACGGCCACACGAAGATGCGGGCAGAAGGGTCACCGCCCAAATCGCCTTTCCCGGGAGAGGAAGAGGAACATGGGGCGAAGCAATTGGAGTAGAGCGTTCACCTTAATTATATAACTTAATTAATGCGTATCTGTATAGTTTCTAAGTTCCCAGGAAATCTTGGCCTGAGGTGCGTCGAGAGTGTTGGGCGGGTGGTGAGCCTATTTGTGAGTCGGTATTTTGCTATGTTTGGGCCTACCGTGTTGCCGCCGGGCAAACCGATGTGGCGTCTTCACGACCCTACCCGCCTATTGCGGCAAGGAGTCGCGCCTTCGCACAGGGCGCTGATCACCCTGGGCCAGCCCATTTGCGGTGGTTTCGCTTCGCGAGATAAAAGACCGCAAGAACAGTTCACGATAGGGATTGAAATGACCACCTTCTGTAGAAGAAAACGCCGCGCTAGCCACCGCGACTGGCTCACCCAAGCAGGGCCGGTCCTGATATTTCGGGGGCCCAGGGCGAAATTACAACCAGGGGCCCCTACTATAAAGATCAAAATAATAATCTCATTTTTTTAGTTCATTCTTTTACTTAACTTATTATTGTCTATTGTTCCAAAATAAAACAAAAATTGTAAATGGTGTATTCCTTTACTTAATTAGACAAATCGAATACCTGATAGAGGGCAAGCATCAAGATGAAAGGTTTATAAAGTTTAAAAGCTTCATTTGCAACAATAAAAGAACATTTACCTACCCGATGGCTATGGGAGTCTGAGTGGCTTTATTATATAACCATGTTTGGATTGAAGTTATAAATGTAAGAATTGCTGAGACCTTCTTCCAATTTTTAAGTTAAATTTGCAGTCATGATGATTTGGAGAGAGAATGCAAAGACCGAGAATCAAACACATAGCAGGCAATTTTTTCAATAGGTAAGGCAATTTTTTCAATAGATAAGGCAATTGGTGACCCAAGTGAAAGAATAACAATGCGGAAATTAAAGAAACTAACAGTGGCGACAAAACTTAAAACCAGTTTGTGAAATTTCCAAACAAATTTTTGTTAACATTCTTCAAAAAAGAAGAACAAAAGTGAAAACATGAACGTCGTATCGAAATTATGAACAATTTTCACAAAATGAAAAAAATTGAAATTGCAATCCAACATTTTTTGAATTGGCGAACAATCTTTTTGAAGTTGTGAGCAAATTTCTAAAATGTAACATTGCTTGAATTTGTGAACAAATTTTGAAAACGGGAACATTTTTTAATTTGTGAAAAAATATAAATATTAACATTTTTTGAATTTTTTAACAATTTAAACATGAACATTTATATGAATATATCTACAAATTTTGAAAAAAAGGGAAACAGTTTTTAAAATCATTGAACTTTTTAGTTTGTGAACAAAATTTTAAAAAGAGAACCTTTTGTGAAATTCGTCTGAAATTTTGAACATTTTCTAAAAGCATCAAACAAATTTTAAAATTGTATTTTTTTTGGAATTCTGAAGAAAAATCGAAAACAGAAACATTTTCTAAAAAACTGTGAGCAAAATTTGAACATTTTATTAATTCCATAACAATGGTTGAGAAACAGAAAATTATTTTGAAAAAGAAATAATGAAAAAGTCAAAGAAAATAAAAAAACATGAAAATACAAAAAGAAACAGAAAATAGAAAAGAAAAAACGAAGAAGAAGAGAAAAAGTAAAAAACGAAAGAGAAACTGAAAAAACCGGTTCAGGAACCATCTAAAACGTTCCCAAAACAAACAAAAAACTACTAGAAACATCATAGAAGGTTCCCAAAAACTGGTACTAGCTGCAACATTAAACGGGTTGGCCCAGCCCTGAACAGTCGCTCGCTTGCCTTTGCGAAACAGCGACAACTTGTCGCAAAGAGTAGCAAAATAGGGTTTTCCACCTCTATCCCCTCCTCTTGTATCGGTCATCCCCTCCTCCTGCCATCCACGACGCCACCTCACTGCAGCGCCCTTCCCTCCGACTTCGCCATCTCTGTGGTGTCTACACGACAGGGACAAAGGGTCGCGGTCACCGGAGGATGCGGCGCTGGGCGTTCGCGCTATCCTCTTTGGTCGCCTCCGTCTGCTACTTCCTCTTTTTGATGGTGGCGCGGAGCCGTCCCCTGTGGAGCACTTGCCGCCCGTATTCAGCAGCTCGCTACTCACCGGCCACAAGATATAAACTAAAAGTTACACAAAAAATTTGGAAGTTTCTCTAGCACCAACTTTTTGCATCTTATTTTTAACTTTTTTCTAATAATACATTTCAATGTGGTGGATTATTTTAAATGGACGTTGTGTTTCTACAATTTTATTTTCTCATTTTAGCAGTAATTGCTTATTTTTTTTGTTTTTTAGGGGATTACCTAGCGAGCTAATCGTGCGCTGGGGACCCATTGCAGGCCCGGGGCGCGAGGTTTGGTCCCCTTCCTCTGGATCCGGCTTGCCTGCTCCCTCCCCATGCTCCCATCCGTGCTCCCACTTCATTCTACGGTTGTCTTTTTTCCTTTTTTTTTTCTAATCTAATCATCTCCCCCCTGATTTTAAGGGGGTGGGACGGGACCTTATTTTCTTCCAATCAAATTAAGCCACATACGGGAGCACGGATGGGCACACGCCGGGGAGCAGGCAAGTCTCGTCCCCTTCCTCTGCCTCCCTATCATGGGCCGACGGAGCTCCGGCGCGGCCTGCGGTGGCGGCAGCAACCTCGAGCCTCTCACGAAACCGTCCGTCCATTCGCCCGCTTGCTCCTGTGGCACGCCACCGCTCTCCTCTACTTTCACATTTGTCTCCGGTGAGTCCCCACGGGGTCCGCCGTCGACCTTGGGCTCCTCAGCATCCACAAGGTGAATCTTCTCCTCCTCCTTCCGGTGATGTCGACTGGTCGGTGATGACTCGCTATGCACCGTGACAATTTCTTACCTTCGGTTTGCTGATTTGCGAACTGCTGTGAAATCAGATGTTATCATACTACCTTCGGTATATCATTCCATGTTCACAAGCAGTGAAGCTACCATCACATTGGTTTTTAAACAATCAATGAGGAGCAATTTCTGAAACACGCCAATTTTTACCAGTATACAAAGTAGGCGATCAACGTCTCCTCAGATACCATCACAATTACCACGGGAACGCTAATTGACTTGAGAATCAAGCACCATATACAATGCACGCATTACCGAAGACTTGCCAAGTGAACAAGTCTGAAGCATTTTCAGCATCAGCGTGACAGTTTATCTAGATTTGCAGCGTAGGGTAGCCTGGAGATGAAACAAATGGCTTAGGGGCATCGTTAGAATCGGAAAGCTTCATATTAACACCTTCACCCTTTTGCCACAATTCAGAGATTGTTACTTTGGCCACAATCCGAAGCAAATTCTGTAGTGAACTCCAAGAAATCTGATACAGGTTGCACAGATTTGGCTTTGGTTGCACTCCTTTCTCATCACTTTATTTAAACCCATGATTTTCTACTCCCATCTCCGCGTCCAGGAGATGAAGCTCTTCACTGTCCTGTTTTCCTACGTCCTCCTTCTTGGCCTCTATACACCACCAAGCCTGTCAGATGGTCCACCTCTTCAAGATGTGTGCCCTATGGCACCTCAGGGTGAAAGGAAGCTGTTCATGAACGGTTTCCTCTGCAAGCACCCTAGCACCATACTGGCTTCTGATTTCAAGACACTGCTTCTCAATCATGCCGGGAAACTAGATAACATTCTCCGGTCATCGGTATACATCGTCACCGCCGCAGAGTTCCCTGGCCTCAACACCCTTGGCATGTCGATGGCACGGACCGACATCGACCCCTATGGGTCAGTGCTTCCCCACTCTCACCCAAGGGCGTCGGAGATGATGTTTGTCCATGATGGCAGCGTGCTGGCCGGTTTCTTTGACACAACTGGTAAGCTGTTTCAGAAGAGACTGTGTGAGGGGGATGTCTTCATCTTTCCCCGTGGTTTGGTTCACTTCATCATGAACTATGGTCTCCGTCTTGCGACGACTTCTCAGTGCTCAACAGTCAGAACCCTGGTGTGGTTGGCATCACCCATGCAATGTTTGCGCCAGATTCAGATGTAGTCGAGGGGCTGATGGCCAGAATGATGAAGTCCAGAGAGATGGAAATCCCTAACAACAAGACTACTGATTTTCCATGGACTTACTAGTGAAACCAATTATAGTATAATTTATCGACGCATGATGATTTTCACATTTCAATCAAGTCATGTATATGGGCAGAATTTCATTCTAGTGATGTTCTCACTAGTAGAAAAAGGGCTATTTATCCCAGAACCGGGACTAAAGGGTCGTTACTAAAGACCCCCCCCCCCCCTTAGTCCCGGTTCTTTTACGAACCGGGACTAAAGGCCCTCCACGTGGCCGCTGCATGGAGGTCCACTATCAGTATCAAAACCGGCGGATCTCGGGTAGGGGGTCTCGAACTGTGCGTCTAAGGCGGATGGTAACAGGAGGCAGGGGACACGATGTTTTACCCAGGTTCGGGCCCTCTTGATGGAGGTAAACCCTACGTCCTGCTTGATTATTCTTGATAATATGAGTAGTACAAGAGTAGATCTACCACGAGATTGGAGAGGCTAAACCCTCCGGTTTATATAAATAACAAAGGAGGCTAGAGTTAAACAAGGTCGATTACAAAGGAGGAGATATGCATATCCGTATTGGCTAGTTTGCCTTCCACGCCAAGTAGAGTTCCATCCCGACACGAGACGAAGTCTTCAATCTTGTATCTTCATAGTCCAACAGTCTGGTCAAAGGATATAATCCGGCTGTCCAGATACCCCCTAATCCAGGACTCCCTCAGTAGCCCCTGAATCAGGCTTCAATGACGATGAGTCCGGCGCGCAGTGTTGTCTTCGACATTGCAAGGCGGGTTCCTCCTCCGAATACACCACAGAAGAGTTTGAATACAAGGATAGTGTCCGACCCTGCAAAATAAGTTCCACATACCACCGTAGAGAGAATAATATTTCCACAAATCTAATCTGCTGACACGTTTTGGCAGCATGACATCATGCCATGGCCCGATAATTATTCGAACCGTTTTTCTTTAACCAGCCCCGCACATAACACGAGGCGGTTTCTTGACACGTCTTGTCAAAGCAGAGATCGTGTCCCCCTTATTACGAGATTCTCATCAATACGGGCGTGGGTAACCCAACCGTGCCTAGGACTCCTAGATTTTAGGCAAGTCCCAAACGGCCACGAGGAGGACGATTGATATTCACCCTCTTTATAAAGGGACAAAACTTTTACTTTTTTCCCTCCCGTGCTTAATCGAATCCTTCCCCCGCCTCGAGTTCTAACACCCAAAACCCAGGTCAGGTGCTTCGGACCTTCAATCATGTCCAGATCCAGCTTTCAAGGCCGGTGGATGCCTTCCTTCGTCACGGAGGAGGATATCAAGAAGTTGAGGGAGGCCAGATACCTGACCGCCGAAATTTCGCATAGACTGCCCGCCCGAGGGCAGGTCATCCCTACTCCCGAACCCAACGAGAGCGTTGTGTTCGTCTCCCACTTCCTCCGAGGACTAGGCCTCGCTCTGGATCCCTTTGTTAGGGGTCTTATGTTCTATTACGGGCTGGATTTTCACGACCTAACTCCGGATTCCCTCCTTCACATCTCGTCATTTATTGTCGTTTGTGAGGCCTTCCTCCGCATTACCCCTCACTTTGGCCTGTGGTTCAAGACCTTTGATGTGAAGCCGAAGATGGTCGAGGGGCAGTACGCAGCGTGCGGAGGTGCTCTAATAAGCAAAATTGCTGGTGCTCCATGGCCGAAGGGTTCCTTTCCAGAGGTGTCCGGATTGTGGCAACGGGAGTGGTTTTACGTCACAGCCCCCCGAAGTGCCAAGTGGGTAGCTGCCCCCACTTTTCGCTCGGGCCCTCCACCACAACTGATGTCATGGATTAGCAGGGGGCTGAGCTGGGGTCCAGCCAAGGACGTGCCCATACTGCAGAGCCGCATCCGAGATCTCTTCGAGGGAGATTTCAGTCTGGTAATGCTAATGCAAGTTATGCTGGTTCGTCGAGTCCAGCCTTGCAAACGCCGGCCCCTCCGCATGTGGGAATTCAACCCGGAAGGACCGCCCACTATTCAGAATTTCATCGGCCTGACGCACGAGGAGATGTACAAATCGTTCTTCGGACCCCAAATAGAGTGTCCGGACACTACCGAGGACGTGGGCCTGAGCAGCAACCGCACCGTGGCCCAAGTAAGTAATCCCATGGCCGAACACACTTTTTTTTATTTATCATGACATCATTCCGAAGAATCGCTCTTTGACCAGGACTGGATAACAAAGGCGAAGATGATCCGATGTTTGCCCCCCCCCTTTCTGAAGGCTTGGACAATCCAGTGCTGGAAAAGATGCTCGAGCCAGCACCTTGCCTGGTGCCCTCAAAGGAAGATGAAGGGAGGAATAAAGAGGGCGAAAGCGGGCCTCCACCGCTACCTATTCCAACCGAGGGAATGAGCGCCTCTGTGAAGGAGGATAACCAAGGGGAAGATTCTGACATTCTCTCGCCCCGGGGAAGGAAGAGGACTACCTCTGAAGATCCGAAAACCAAGGTTTCCAAACGGGAGAAGAAATCTCCACCAGAGGGTCCTACCTCGGAGGGTGCTCTTGCCGCACAATGTCCGCGCGGGGATCAGCCCTCTAACGAGCTATAAGTAATCAAAAATTACTTAATAGTGAAGATATCCTACCTTACTTCTGAGGAAAATAACCAAAGCCTTTATCTTGCAGTTCGGATCTTATCCCTTCTCAACAGAGCTCGTCTTCAGGGGATCTTCTTCCAGAGATGATGGAGAGCGAAACGCCTCCCCCAGACTCCCCAGCTCAAGAAGCGGGCGACCTTGAAGTGCCGTCGCGAAGGGTTTCTCCTGACCCGGCAAGGCCAGAAGGTAATCCTATGGCCACCCGAAGTCCCCAGTATCTGGCTCTTGAAGAGAGCAATCAAAAGAGTCTGGCTCCATTTGGTATGCGGTCGGACGTACTGAAGGATCTGCTAGAGCGAGCGACTATCTCAGAAGAGCACTATACGTTGATGGGTACGGTGATTGAAAGGATTTCGTCCGCCGAAAGCGGGTTGCATGAAGCCTTTATGAGTCTACTGACGGGGTTTGAGGTACGTGAAATGATATACATTTTTGACAGTACCACACATATTTAGGTGTGCCCTGTGTAGATAGTATCCCCTCAGACTCTGGTTGTCATCGAGAACGGCGGCAAACAGAGGATCGTAGTCCCAGGTAATAACCAGACCGCCTTTATGTGCAGGTGGTTGAAGCTCCGGTGGCTAGCCGGACTGATGGGGTTGTCGAACTAAAGCGGCAACTGGATGCGGTTGATGCCGACATCGTGCTTGTTAACAAGCGGCTTGACGAGGCACAGGTTAGGTGATTTTTCTGGTGAATGTCACACAGTAAGAGCAGCATGATGCCAGTATCTTTAATATGTCGTGACTGCAGATGGAGCTGCCACCGTGGAGACCCTTCGGGCGGAGCTTGCCTGAGCCAAGGAGCAAGCAAGGAGTAGTAATGCGGCCGCTTTAAAGGCGGCCGAAGAGTTAAGAGCCGAAAAGGCCATGCATAGCGAGAGCAAGGAAAAAATGGCCAAGATGGCTGTAAAGTTAAAAGACACAGCCGACCGTTGCCAACTTCTTGAAGAAGAAAACCAGGCGAAGGCGACGGACCTGGAAAAGGCCACGATGGCGACCAAAGAGACCCGCTCTGCGCTGAGAGCGAAGAAGGAGGAGCTGCGTCAAGCCGGGGATATCGCGGCTGGGAAACCCTTTATGTTGCGGAGGAAGTTTGGAGATCCTCGGTATGCTTCTCTTGACCGGCTGTGGAGTTCGGCGGACGCATATCTGGACTTGGCGGCGAGTGCTGTCGACGCAGATCAAACAAATTGTGAAGTGGACAAGCTATTCTAGTCACAATTTAACGTTCCAGAGCGTCCGCTTCCATTGACTGATCGGCTTGCCGAATGGGCCGAGCTGAATAGATTGTCCGGACTCGCCATGAGGTCTGTTGTGGATCATCTGTGGCTGGAAAGGCCAAAGCCGAACAGCTATTTTAGTTTGGTGCAGCAGTTCGTTGGTGCAGTGCCGCGCATTAATGCGATGAAGAGGTCGGCATGCATAGAAGGCTCGCGGATGGCCCTTGCCCGTGTCAAAACATACTGGGTGGAGATGGATGCCACCACTGTTGCGGTGCAGGGTTCGGCCATAGGCCGAGTGGCTGCCGAGCACTATTTTGAAGAAGTTCTTGAAGGCGCTCGTTTGATAGAGGCCCAGTGCTTGAAGAATATTATGTTTGAGTGACATGTATTCCCATTGTAAAAACAATGTTTTATTAAATTTATCAAGGATGTATTTATACTTTTGCCCGAAAGTATTATGATGCCTCCTGTGCGGCTATTTATGTATATATGTATATAACCTGAAAGATTGCAGTCGTCGGCTTCAGCCCCCACGCATATAATGCGGGGGTGTTTGCAGAAGACGCGTGTTCATACTCGATCCAACGTCTTGGTCCATTAAGGAGGTGATAGCGCAACGGACTAGGCAACCGGACTATAATGCTTTAACACTTTCACTTAGTCAGAGGAGTTTGACAGTGGGGCTACTATATAGCCCCTGGTGGCTCCGCACTCATCCGAATTCGGGGTGCATACATGCCTGGCTGGGAAACGGCCCTTCGTTAAGGCGGAGGAATTCCGAAGATTCTGATAGGTCATCGAGTGGTTGACCATTCTCACGCTATATCATGACAGTCAGTTTTCGGCTTTCTCTACTAAGGTGCTCGTCCGGATGAACCAGGGCACAATCGCAGTAGTTCTCCGGGTGCCGCCTTAGCCGATAGAGCGGAACGTAAGGCAGC